CAAAACTCACGCCCGTACGGGTAAATACACATTCTCAACTACACACCAACAATAACACGGACACGGCTTTTTCTAGTCTCTTACAGACGCCTTAGGACGCTGGAAACAATATTGATAAGCAGATCTTTGATGGCTTCAAGACAGTATCACATTGGCAAGACGGACAGCATCAATATTAATGTCAAATCCGTCGGCAATTAGCTGACGAAAAAAGAGATACCGGTGCAAAAACAGCCCAATAAATTACACGTCAAACAAGCCCAAGCCTGAACAAGGATCTTCAACAATAACTTGAATATAACGTCCTTGGCCTAAATCTCTGCATGGAGTGTAGGTGTTGATAGCCACAGTCTCTATAACACACGCCCTTACTCACGCCCATCTTAAGCCAGCGTGTTGAATACCTCACATTAGCAAGACACTGTCAATGCATCTTTCTTAAGTGCACTTCTACTACCGGCTTTCGTTTTATAAAGTATAGAAGGGAAAACATGTGTCGTTTGTAACATAGAGTATCATCGAGACAACTTTGTATTTCAGGTTGAGCCGTTTTTAATTGGGGTATAACAAAATACAAAAAAAGAGGAAAAACTAGACAAGAGAGACAAGAGGTTTCTTAACTATTTTCTTCTTTAACTTTTCGACGTTACTGAGACATAGACAAAGATTTAGCCGCGTTTGAAAATTTACCTACAGACTGAGAAAACTTCGCAGTGACTAACCCGGGTGCGGAAAACTGTACCCTCTAGCGGACCAACTCCCCTGGCATGTTATCTCTCTCTATTTGGCCAATTTCTACTCTTTCCAGCCGCCTCCTTAAGCCTGGTAGAGGCTACTCTCCAAGCAGAGGTTTGGGTTTTGGGGGTATTTTTAGCGTGTTTTTAGGCTTTTTTTATCAGGGTTTCTCTTTTGCACTGATTTTTCCCCACCAAACCCAAACAAAATTAAGTGCAAAAGAGAAACCCCGATAAATGAAATGAAATGCTAAAAATACCCCCAAAACCCAAACCTCTGCTTGGAGATTAGGTAGAGGCTAGCAATGACAGCTACACTTCTTTCCTTTTCCACGTCGCTTCACACACCGTTCCTCCCTCCCGCCTTCCCCCAGCGTGGTGAATACCTCAGATTCCTGCACCCTTTCTCTCGTCCGTTTCACCTGCCAATCACCTGACGCGTGTGACCAGCCGACAGGGAGGGAGGTTCTGGCGCCACGTATTTACCGAGAACCGCGCTTTCAACACTGAGCCGCTGTAAATATCGGGCCCAGAACGCAGATAAACTGTGGAAGTCAATTTGGGAGTCTATAAAACTGCGGGGTTTCGACGCGTGACTCCTCTACTGGTTCTAGTCTCCGCTAGACTAACAACGTGGGTTTTAAAACAGTAAAATTTTAGCCAACTCAAAGTGTCAAAGAATGATTGGCCAGGGGAGTTTGGCCATAGTAGTACAGTTCATTTGTGGATCTAGCCTCTACCAGGCTTCGGGAGGCGGCTGTAAAGAGTAGAAATTGGCCAAATAGAGAGAGATAATATGCCGGGTGCGGCAAACTGTACTTTCTAGCGGACCAACTCCGTCGGCATGTTATCTCTCTATTTGGCCGATTCTACCCTTTCCAGCCGTCTCCCGAAGCCTGGCAGAGGCTACCGAGTCCATTTGCACCTAACGGACCCTAACGGTGCACACACTCCCTACTCTCTAAGCAGAGGTTTGGGTTTTGGGTTATTTTTGGCGTGTTTTCAGGCTTTTTATCGGGGTTTCTTTTTTGCACTGCAATTTTTTTCACCCAATCCAAGCCAGTCGGACCCAATTTTTAACAGCATTCTACTATCCATGACCCCCTCAGCAAGGCTACTATTTGTGCTGAATTCTATTATCCATAACCCCCTAGGAAGGCCTGTTGGAGGCTACTATTCCTCAGAAGTTACCCCCAGTCCCGGGTAACCCCCAGGCCAGACCGACTCATATTTTCCGCGGATGTTTGTTGACGTTTTCTCCCCCGTTCTGCTTTAAATGACGGCATCGGAACAGTTTAAAAGGCGGGAGTCCCGTTACACTGGGGGGGCCCACAAGAGGGTCTGCATGGGGGGATCCCGTTACACTGTGTGTGTGTGTGTGGGGGGGGCTCACAAACCCGGGAACAGTTTACAAAGGGTCTGCATGGGGGATCCCGTTATACTGTGAACTGAGGGGCCCACAAACCCGGGAACAGTTTACAGAGGGTCTGCATGGGGGGGTCCAACAAAACCGGGAACTGTTTACATTTACGCCTGGATACTTCAGAGGGTCTGCATGGGGGGGATCCCGCTGCACTGGGAGGGGGGCACAAACCCGGGAACAGTTTACTTTTACGCCTGAATACTTCACAGGGTCTGTGTGGGGGGATCCCGGCAACTAAAAAAAAGCAGACCTGCCGTTGGCTGCAAGACAAGATCAAACTGATTGGTCAGGTAGTATCCACTTGCCAGGCAGTTACAAGTTGCCACTCAAAATAAGGTGCCAGTACAAAAAAAAAAAAGATCGATGAGAAAAGTCTAAAAACATGTCCGAAATAAAACCGAAGAGACAGCCAGACAACGCTTTAAGAAGGCCGCCAACACTTAACGCTAAATTCAGGCAGGACAACAACGCTTAAACGTTGAATTTAAAACGCAGCCGGCTTTATAGAAAAATAATGGAGGGGGCGGGCGAAAAATAAAAACAGGCCTAGGCATCCTATTATGGCCCAAAATGGTAAGATAGGAGCCATGAAGTCAACACACCAGGCATGAAATAACTGTAACAACTAGGAGGAAAAGGACTGTTTTCAACTGTTCAGGGCAAAATATGAGCATTATGCAGTTGATTCTGAATTTTTATTCTTATTTGAAAATCAGAAAAAAATGAAGCGGGCGAATCCGTTAACCAAGAAATTAAATTGGTGTTGTCTAAGCCTCACAAAAAAATGTATGCAGACCCTTAGTTTACATTTCGCCCTGGCTACTTGAGCAGTAAGAGTGCTTCACCCAGGCTGTTGTACCGGCCGAGAGGAAACCCAGACCCTGTCGGAAACACGTCCTTTGTTTCCCAGCGCGATGAGTTTGCCAAAAGACTCGCTTCTGTATATCAAAGGGTTCTAAACACTCTCTTTTGTTACTCTCCAAGCTGAGGGTTAGGCTTCGGCTTACTTTTACGCGTTTTTCTCTCAACTAAAGCTGGTTAAGCCTGAAATACAAGGTTGGCTCGGGGCTGTACTTATAATTGGCAAATTCTTTCTCCTCTCTTCCTTATAAAAAGGAAGCCAATGATACCATGTATATTTTAATTAGATGCCTCTATGTATGACTGTGACCGTGCTTAGCCTAGAAACACACGAAAAGTTCACGATTCTTATACATGTACTAGAACTCGGAGGAGAATACCACCAATGGCAGACATTTTATTTTGTGAAAAGCCGATATAAAAAACAACAAAATGCCCAAAAGACGTCAAAATAAGCAAAAGCCCAAACCATGTACATGTAGTTGTAAGTACACAACCAGGGCCGTGGTCTAGGCGTATCCAGTACCATGCATATCTATATTGCTACGTTCTTGTGTTTTAATACCTCCATGTCCAAACCTCTGCTTGATAAAGAGTAGTGTCTGAATATACCAAACCGGTGTCCCGTTACCACGCCGTGTTTCCCCGACGCCCGACCACAGCGGAGATTTAATGAAATGTTCCCGGCATCACTCGTCGCCCCCTGCACGGTTCCTTACCCTCCTAACACATCGGACACACTCCACACACCGCGCTTTCTTCCGCCGCCTCTCTACAAGCCCTTACCGGACTGCAAAATTGAGCGCTGCGGTAACATTAGACGGCTTGGTTTATGTACAGTCCCAATACTTCACCCGCATCGGTGCCTTTCGGCAGGCAAATCGCCTTAACAAACCATTATATTCCGCGCTTTGAAGAAAATCCCGGCCTTAAATGTTGCTTTTGGAGTGAGGACGTCTCAATTTGGCGCACTCGAGGAAGTTGTACAAAACTTGCCAAACTTTGATTCATGCTTGGGAAAATAAAGATCAAAAGAGTTTTCAGGGCGCCGAGCGAAAGTAGTTTTTTCGCACTCACTCGGTTTTCTTTGTACACATGTGTTAAAGAGGGGGATTCGCACTTTCGTGGATCATCTGTAAGAGATCAGGCGGGTGACGGTGGGCGGGGAAAGCTCGGCCCGGCGCCGCGGAGCGTTTGTGTGGTGCACCGGGGGACGGGAGCGGGGCTGGGCGGGGGCAGGAGCGCTGCGCCCCGCCGCGTGTCGGGCCAGCTCCCGGTGACTATCAGGCGGACTCGGGCAGGGGGTTGGGTACGAAGTGCTGTCTACATTCCCTGTTGTATCCAGAACCGTGCTTTATCCAAAACCCTGCTCAGGCACGGTTCTAGATCCGTATCCATAACTGTGCCTGAGGCAAATCGGTCTTGGATGCGGTAGAGCCACTATTGCTAAAATCCAGAACCGTGTCTGATCCTAACCCTAACCCATTCAGGCATAGAACTAGCGAGGCAAGATCCTGAATAGGTATCCAGAACCGCGCCTGGGGCAAATCTACGTTCATGGATATACGGAGACTATCCAGAACCGTGCCTGATCCTAACCCTAACCCATTCAGGCACAGAACTAGATAGGCACGGTTCTGAGTACGGTATTTCCCTTGTACTTGGCACTAACACTGCCCTTTGCGTCAGAGGAAACGCGTTCAACCAAATCAAGTTATCAACTCATAATCTGAGTTTACGCTGACTCGTGGCATGTTTTGACTCGGGTATTTTTAGCCACAAGACTTCTAATATTACTTCTCGCTGAAGTAGGCATTTCAGTGGGCACCTTGTTTTGCCTTCGCGTCTTGGGAGGAAAAAAACATGAAATAATTTCTGCCACGTCTTGGTGTTAACCTTGAGACGTAATAATCACGACTACATACAGGTGAGCATACCTGGATACACGAACGTCTTCAAGACATAAGAACACTTTCACTTACTTCGTCGTCATGTTCGTTCGTGATGACCGTCTCGTTGTGTTCCATGGCGTAATAGTCGTTATCAAACACCGGGACCCCCTCCCTGTAACTCCGCACCGCTCGTACTTTGGACGCCGCCACCACGTAAACCTCGCATCCCACTGCTAGTAGCGCCAAAACGCCCAGTACTCCACAACAGTGCATCTCGGATAATGTCCACGGGAGGGTATAGAACAAGTAGAAGCCTCCGAGTCTTCGCTGCTGGTTTGCGAAACGTTGATTTGCGTTGCCCGCGCGTATCGGTGTGACCGTCCCGCGGCGCGCGTGTTTGCAGAGAAAGGAAAGTTGCGTGTTTCTGAGCCGGGCCAATCAAACGCCGGCGCCTCTCGGCTGCTCGGAATCCCTAGTCTGGTTACCAGGCTCAACAGGCGCCTGAGGCGGCTCACAATCTCAGCAAACTAGCGCTACGTATGGCTGGTGAGTAGGACAGTAGCCTGGTTACCAGGCGCCTTTCGGCTGCTCGGAAGCGCAAACTGGCGCCGTAGCCTGGTTACCGGGCTCCACTGAGGTCTCCGTCTGCTGGCAATCTCAAACTGGCTCTACGCACGGATAGCCGTGCAGTATCACGGTAGCCTGGTTACCAGGCCCCGCAGGTTGCCTTAGGCTGCTCGCGATCTCAAACTGGCGCAACGGCTACCCGGGCAGTAGCCAAGCGAATTTCGGCTGCTAGCAATCTTAAACTGGGGCTACGTAGGCTAACTGGTGAGTAGGACAGTAGTCTGGTTACCAGGCTCCTCAGGCTGCCTCTCTGCTGCTAGCAATCTATAACTGGCGCTTCGGCTACCTGGACAGTACGTAGCACTGTAGTCTGGTTACCAGGCTCCACGGGTGACTTTCAGCTGCTCGCAATCTGTCAAATTGGTGCTACGTAACCGTGCAGTAGCACTGTAGTCTAGTTTCCAGGATCCACAGAATGCCTTATGGGTGTTTTACTGATGGACCTGGGAGGGCGGACAAGTCCGGACCTGGGAGGGCGGACAAGTCCTTCCACCGTAGAGATACCTACGACAGCCTGGATGCCAGGCTAGGGTAGCATGTGCGTAACACGTCTGGCTTGCGAGAGACAAGCGAACTGCACTCTAAACAAGCCGAGATAAGGAAGTGAAAGTACGTTCACGTAATCTCAAAGCAGATCTTTCGGTGGCTGCAAGACAGTATCATTGGCCAGTACGTATCCACAAGATACCAGCACAAACAACTGGAAGTTGGTCCGATAAAAAAAACGCCTGGAAACACATTAGAAATAGGCCTAAACCTCTGCTTGCGGAGTATTAGTAAAGTGGTTCTTGTTGGAAACGGTTCAACGAGGTTCGAGAGTAGTTTTCAGGTTGGCTAGCTTGTGATTTTGTCTCTCCGCAGGATAACAGTGAGTGCCCGTGTGATGATACCGTTTGTACCATGTAATTAGCGTCTGTAATTCAGAGTCTGCAGAGGCGACGTACCAGTAGGCCTTTTGTACGGGGAGACGGCTCGGTAGTTAGCAAGACTCCAGCCACGCGGCGTGGAATAGTCTCCTCCAAGCTCCTAAGGCTGAGGCAAACAGACGAAACTCACTGTGCGAATTTCTCCGGATCGCAAAAGGCAATATATAAAAATGTAACGATCATTCCCCCACAACCTCTGCTTGGAGAGTAGTAATTAGTGTGGAGTCTACGGAGGCAAGGCTCCAGGCTCCAGGGATAGTCTCTACCAGGCTCCTAAGGCTGAGGAGAACAGACGAAACTCCAGGTCGCGGACCTTGTATTTAGTTAATCTCCAAGCAGATCCCTCTCTGTGGCTAAAAGACAGTATCAAATTGGTTGGGCAGTATCCATTAGCCAGAGAAGCTCCGCGGCCACCGACGGGTTGGTGGGGGTCAGGACAAAAAAAAAACGGCCATATATAAAAATGTAACGATCATTCCCCCACAACCTCTGCTTGGAGAGTAGTAATTAGTGTGGAGTCTACGGAGACGACGTGTCAGAAGGCCTTTTGTGCGGGCATTGTGGCTGGGAGACAGGCGGGTAGTTAGCAAGGATCCAGCCACGCGGGATGGCTCCTACCGTCGCTACATAATTCATGGAGGTTAATTACCGTCGGCGCGATTTGTCGCAGTCTCTCACAGGCTTCTAAAGATCCCAGGCTCCTAGGGCTGGTGAAAAAAAAAATGAGTCGAAATTCGCTGCGCAAATGTTGGGGAGGCTCGAGCCTAATAGGGACTAATCACTGTCCGCGCGACTTACTTTTTCATATAACTAGCTATGAGCCCGAAGGGCCGCGCGACCCAGGCCCTTAATTCGGGCTCATAGCTAGTTATGTGAAAAAGTAACATGAAACTTGCTGTACCAATACATGCCTGACGATGGGAAGCCTAGTACCGGTGGTACATTTTATGGAGGCTAATCATCGCCTGCGCGACTTGTTGTAGTCTCTCAAAGGCTTCTATGGCTTATTATTACTTACAGGGCTCGTTATCAAAACTTACTAACGTTACATGTAGTAAGGAGAAACTCGCTGTACCAATGGCCATTTTGACTACTAGTATTTTTGTGATCATAAAACCGTTTCACACACAGGCAGAAAGCAAACACTCCATTGGCCTATTTCCGATGTACATAATTTATCGGCGGGAGTTCATTATCGCCTGGCGGCGTTACGCTAACAGACTGCTAATGAGGCGGACAAAAGCCGGGTAATTATCGGGCTGTGATAGCGGGACAGGGCGGGGAAGTGGGCGGGGGAGCTCTGCTGGGGGGCGGTGCCAAGGCCGGGGCACGGACTCGGGCACTGGCGGCTGGACTAGCCTCTACCAACATGTAATCTTTACTCCATTTGGCCAATTTCTACTCTTTCCAGCCGCCTCCCGAAGCCTTGTAGAGGCTAGCTGGATCTACTATTTTGCCGAAGTTGACTGTGAAAAACCCCTTAGGAAGGCCTGGTGGAGGCTATAATTATGATAAGGCGTGTCCAATCCATTAGTGCTGCCCCTCCCCACGGCTGCCAATGTGGGCTCGTCCTGCTGCGAAAACTGGGAGATGTACAATGCTGTCTGGGTATTACTTGTACAAAATGTACTAGTAATCATGGTAATAATAAGTCTTTTTATTATCATGTAGTAATGTACTTGCGAATAGCGCGCGGTATAACTTCAATAAGATATTCAGAACCTTTACAAACCGCCAGAGGTCCCCACTGCACTGACAAAACTTAACAGGCTATGATCGACACATAAATAATGCAGGACGAGGAAATAAAACGTTTTTCAAACCACAGTACTCATACTCTTTCATACTTCAGGCTCATTCTCTAGACATAGCTTTTTGTCTCATTTATTTAGTACGTAAATTTATTTTCACTGGAAAACGTGATGATTAAAAAGTCGTGATATGTCTTTCTCTAATAGTTATCCCCCTTTTTTTCATATCAAAAACTATTAAATAAATGTGATAAATAATCAAGTCTCATTCTCTTGGCCAATTATTAACCCAATGTTTTTCTTCGGGGCCAAGGAGAGTCGATTGGTCACTAACCAGTTGGCCCTCGTATACTGGTTGGGGATTACACAGTAGTATAGAAACAAACTTTACTCAAACCCACGAAAAAATAACAGCTCGGGAGCTGAAGTAAACACCGCGCGTCACGCATTAAGTACGACAATAGTATCAGACTTACAGTATTACTTAAAGCCACTAGTGTTACTTGCCGTTCTTCACACCTTGTTTGGACGGCACACGGGAGGTTACATGAGAAGCTCGTTAACAAAGGGACTGAATTCAGACTCGCCATTCTCTGTCGACTGGTTGTCAACACATGAGAAGGGGGTAAAATAGACTGGCCATGCTCCGTGGGCTTCTGTCAACACACGGGACGTCAATAGAGGCGTGGTTAGGCGCCGCCTTATTGTGATGTCGTTATGACAATGACCTGACCTTTCCACAGGTACGTGAGACGGTGTGACGTTACAGGTTAGTGCAGCCTGTGGGGGCTTCAGTAGGAGGGTGTAATCCCGGGGTCCGGCCACGGTTTTCCCCGGTAAAGCACAGGAGAAGGACGACTTTTATCATGTAGCTTTCGAAGCGTAATTCCGTATCTGTATAGCCGGTATAACCGCCTTTGTGTGTGAGGTCTTCTTGTAGAGGAAAGAACCAACCGGCAAAGTTCTGTGTAAGATCGTCAAAACTTGAACCAGGTCGCCGCTAACTCGGGGCCACGGTTGGGCCGTAAATCGGCGGGGCCCGGAGGCAGGGGCGCGACGTCGCTACCCCGGCCCCGCCAAGTCTTTTCGAACGGTCCGCGGCAGCAGAGAAAACTGACGCTCTAAAAGGAAAGTTTTCGAAAGGAATTGACGCGCTCAGGTCAAGGAAGAAAGGGAGAAACTTCAAGACTTGATCTAGGTCGTCGCCAACTTTTCTACCTGCTGACATAAACGTAAGTTCAAACATTTTCCCTCAGTGGTTTCCTTTTCTAACAATTAACACCATTGTGTGGGTGCTTCAGTCCTAAAACATTTTATTCATGCTCATGGTTTATATGTTGGCGTGTCTTTTTATGACTTGCATTCAGTCACAACTACTACTAGTACTAGCATGGAACAGGACGACGTTTACTGAACATTATCCTAGCGGTGAAATACCCACCCACCACGGGCCCCCGTTACTGGGCCCCAGTATACACAAGCGCAACGAGACCCTTAGTTACACCTGCAGTGTTTTGTTTACGGACACCAACTTTCTCCATTTCCGGCACATTCCGCATTGAAATGTGTTCACCAGGTTATGAAATAACTAAAATGCAACACGGTGTCCTGAATAGAAGATTATATATTTATTACCTTCGCCAAGGTGATATTTTCGTAGCGTTTGCGTGTATTTACCGTCGACAAGGTTATGTTTTCCGTAGCGTTTGTGTGTATTAACATTCGCCAAGAATATGTTTTTCATAGCGTTTGTATGTGTGTGGATGTGGGTATGTGTATGCATGTGGCTTAGCACGATAACTCAAGAAGCGTTGAATGGATTGTCATGAAACTTGGTAGGTGGGTAGGTGTACATATGTTGATAAGACCTAGAAATGATCAGATTTTGGGGGTTCCTGGCGGCTTGTTCAAATGATGGTACTGCAGCGGAAGTTCCGGTTTTGATATCTCGCGATCTGCACATGCCAGGGTCACGAATTTTGTTTGGTAGATAGCTCCTGTGCTCGTGGAGACGTAACATTAGTTTAGTCTAGCCTCCCACGGACGGAATGGAACCTTCTCTCGGCGGCTATGTAGGATGGCCGGCTATATCAAGATAACGCGTTAAAAACTCTTCCCCACCGCCGCGGGGCCCGCACAGGAGGCTAAGTTTAGTCCCCTCACGGGCAGCTTGTCTGGGAACGACAGGAGCGGAAAATGTACAAAAAAAGCCGCCAGGGGCCTCAAAATCTATTCAGGTCTCATTAAGACTTACCCACGTACCAAGTTTCTTGACAATGCGCATAAAGCTTCTTGAGTCATGCTGTTTACAAACAAGCGGACAAATGCTACTAAAACATAACCTTCCTGGCGAAGGTAATAAACATCTCCGGCACGACCAAGCTGCCATTAATGTCCATAGGAAAAAATGCAGAGATTTTCCAAATTTGTTGAAGCTAGTCTTCATACGTGTACATGTAATTTGTTATTGTCATGGAGATTAATATGCTTTTATTGCTTGGACTTTGCTAGTAATTGCCAGTACAACGGCCTAGTATCCATCGATTTTAGGGTGTGTTTGCTTTCGGTAGAATTTTTTAAGCAGAAATATTTGGGTTTAGTCCATGCGGATGCTCGATGGAGTCACAGTTTCTTACTCTCAAACATGGGGATAGGATTAACTACAGCTACATAAATAAGCTGAGATCTAATGTTAATTTCTGTTTAGGCAATGTTGTTCTCTATCTTAGTAAGCAACCTTTTTTTTTAATTTTGGGGAAACTATTCAAATCTAATATTAAAATAGCTTTCCGTGATGAAAAGTATACACAGTCAAGCTTGTCTAAGACGAACACCAAGTGCTGTTCTTACAAAAAAGCATGGCGATAAGACAAGGCATAGGGTTTCGTGGTCCACTGCTTTTTGTTATTATCATTATTTATTAATGTCATTGGTTAGTTTGTTTTTTTTTTCTTTATTATTATTGCCATTATCATTATTTACTGTATCCTAATGTTACTGTATGTGACTGTTGTGTTTTGTTGTGTAAAACAGGGCCCCGTTGAAAAGAAGTGCAATCACTTAATTGACCACCCTGTATTAAAATGACGGAAAATAAATAAATAACAAAATGGACCGGGGAAAAGGGGTTACGATGGCCAGATGGTAGCACGATGGATAGGTGATCGCTTCAACCTTTGACTCTAATACAAATTTCATTTGAAGCACAGAAAATATCTAATATTACCCTCTCCACTCCACAGCTCACCTGCAGCCGTCAGGATGGGGGTTGACCTGTGCACCTACAGGGCCCGGATAGGCTGCTTCAGGAACCCGGCGTTTGGCCCCCTGTGCTGCTGGCAGTCATGTTTGCTGGTGTGGATGGTCATCTCACAACTCATGCTGAAGCTTGCAGGGGATGTGGAGGAGAATCCTGGGCCCAGCCAACAGTAAGTATTAGAAACCATACCTTGTCATGTTAGACCACTTTGCAACATGTAGGTGTAATTAATGTAAATCTTGATTGTGTATTTAATGTAATTCTAAAATGTTCTCTGTTTTATTTTTGCAGTTTTTCGTTGACCACTTAATCACAAAATCATGTCATTGACATTATAAATGTGTTTTATGAAGTACATGAGAAATGTTTCATTTAGTCCGGTAACCGGCTAGGGTGGGCTTGCCGAGGTTTTGGCGGGAACGCGCGTGCTGCCAGGGTTTAATTTAGCTTAAAATACGAACCTGGCAGGGGTTATTGCCAGACTGTGCTTCGCTGTTCATTACTTTCAACAAAAAGGTCATGTAACATCTCTATTGTGTTATATAATATAAGTATAGGTAGCTCTAATGATGCTTTTGACATAATTAGATGACAATTATGTAAATCAGGATCACATTTCCATAATTAATGAGGAGATTCTATAAAAGTGCTGTGTTCTATGATAAGACTATTCACATTTGTGACATGTGACTGAGAACAAGAGGGACAGATACAGTATTGAACATGTAATCGAAGACGTAATTTGCATAATTAATAACAAAATGCATAGTGGTATCTGCCGGCAATTTCATACTTGCCGCATTTGGAAGTTAAGTAAAGGTAAAAATCATTAAAATTAGATTATTCAAATCAAAACCTCATTTGCATAATTCATGAGGAAGTGGTAGAATAGACTTTGTAAGATAAGACTCTCATTGGTTGGAAAATACGATCAACTGACGTTATTCATACAAATGAGGATTTTTAAAACTTTCAGGTTTAAAAACAAGGTGAAGCCAAAAGAATGGGACATGATGGGGAAAAGAACTCTCTTGACACTGGACTTGTCTTGTAAATATGATTTTTCAACTGGTAGTTCTATCAACCCTCTGGCCCAACTACCCGAGGAGGTTTTTGAACTTAAGGAATTGGAGGCTTTGGATCTGACAAACAACGAGAACATTGATCTCTCCGATCAGCTGACCAGACTAGACTATCTAAAACTGCTGTGTTTAGATAGATGTAACCTCGACACAGTTCCGGCTGCCGTGATGAAACTTCCGCAGTTAGAAATGCTGATCCTCAGTGACAACTGGAACATCACCCTGCCGGATGACATGTCTGGTCTCATCAACCTCACGGTCCTGGTCTTAGACAGCTGTAACCTGGATACATTGCCACCTGTAGTGCTGAAACTGTCAAACCTACAGGTGCTGGATATAAGTGCGGACCGCAATTCAATATTGAAAATCTCCCTACCAGATGCGTTGCCTAAACTGAACAAGTTGAAAGTGTTGAGACTACGTTTCGGAAACCTGGACACCGTTCCCCCGGCAGTACTGAAACTCCCCCAGCTGGAGGAACTGGACCTCAGCTGGAACAGTGGGATCCGCCTGCCGGATGGGCTGACCGGACTCACCAACCTCCGGGTACTGAAACTAGCGGGAACAGGCATGAAGACAGTTCCTCCGGTAGTGTGGAGACTGACTCAGTTAGAATGGCTGGACCTGAGCGGTAACCAACTACAGACGTTACCCGCAGAAATCGGACAGCTCGCTAGCGTCAAACACTTGGGTCTGTGCCTCTGCAAGCTGCGCACACTCCCACCTGAAGTGGGGGGAATGATACAGTTAGAATGGCTGGACCTGAGCCGTAACCAACTACAGATGATACCCAGAAAAATCGGACAGCTCACTAATGTCAAACACTTGGATCTGTCCGACTGCGAGCTGCGCACACTCCCACCTGAAGTGGGGAGACTGACACAGTTAAAACGGCTGAACCTGAGCCATAACAAACTACAGACGTTACCCGCGGAGGTTGGACAGTTCAGTAGCGCATGTCGCCTTGACGTTATTGGAAATCCACTTATAAAACCACCAGCTGAAGTTTGCCGTCAGGGGATCGATGCTATCAGACAGTACTTTGACGAACTTGAACGCTCTGAAGAAGCCGTATCCGCTCATTTGAAAGTTGTCGTCTTGGGAGAGACAATGGCGGGTAAAACAAGCCTGGTACAGACGCTAAACAGTGGCAAGTCTACCCTGACAGAAGAAGAGGACCGCACACACTGTGTAGAGATAACTCAGTGGGCACCTACGGACAACATCACGTTTGAAGTGTACGACTTTGGCGGCCATGACATGTACCATCTCACTCATCAGCTCTTCTTGACCCAAGGCGCCTTGAACTTGTTGACAGTAAATCTCCAAGAATACAGATGTAGCGAAGAGTGTTACACGCAAGCCGTGGGGTTCTGGCTGGACACACTGAATGCCCGCGTGCCGGGGGCGGTGGTTACCATAGTGGGTAGCAAGATGGACTTGTGCAGCAGTACAGAAATAGAGAAGAAAACTAAGGACATCCAAGA